AACAACCGTGCGCTTTTGTGCGCCTGTTTTGACTGCCCATTTGGAAAAAGAACAATGACGATTGGGATTTTGAGAGTAAATTCAGTCGGAAGATAGATAATTCTTATTACGCGTCGCACGTATGATGAGTAGATGCTCAAACCCCACTGTTTGTGATACCCAGTCATATCACTGTCTCTAACCATCAGTGACCATCATTCTGAGGTCCCCATCCAGTGAGCCTAACGGGACTCATGTGACCGAGTCTCCTGATTTGGATTTTCATACCTTCGTGCCAGGTCTTGGTTTGACAATCTTTGACATTTTTCCACCCAATACCTGCCTCAGCAAACATCTCTCGCCATGACAACTTATCTGGTGACATGCCTAACACCCCAACCAGCGTAATCTATGAAGGTCGACCATTTGCTCTAGTGGAGGACCGCGGTTACCTGAAACGGCGCACAACTTCGGCATTGCTCGTTCCATTTCCCCACTTTATTCGTGTAATGCGACATAGCAGTATTCGAATACCGACAATTTATTTTTATCCTGTTCTCACAATGACCGAGTATCTGCACCGTAGAACAGTACTGCTGCAGCATCTACTCTACCCTTTAGCTGGATGTCGCGACGGTGCCACAGATGTCTCTTGGCAAACGCCAACCGAGCCTTCTATATTCGTACCGACATTTCATCTGTGACGTGTCAGTCAGGTGAGGCAAAGCTGTCCAGATAGCAAAATTAATCTACCTCCTCTGCAACTTCCCCAGTCAGCGAGGTTGAGGGCTGGACCAATCCAATCTTGTGTTAACATTTTACCCTTTGAATGTGCAAAACGCATACCGAACATGGCAACACTAGAACTCAAACTATCCAGAAAAGCTTGCGACTTACGTGGATCTTCACTTAGCAGCACAATGTCGTTTGTATACTCCAGGCTAGACAGTCTACCACCTAGGAGTGAATCGATACCGCTATCCTTGCACGAGGATAAGGTTGTTTCAAGAATTAAATCTATGACAGTTAAATAGAAGCGTAGAGGGCGACCTTGTCGAACACCACCTTCCGTGATGAACTCAGGCGAAAAAGCGCCGTATAGTACAGGGTGACTGCTTCATCGCAGTCGAGCGTCTCGTCCCTCTCACCCGTGACCTTATACAAGTAAATCCCCCCTGACGCGATCTGATTGGATCATATTCCGCAAGCTGCGACGCCTAAAATCTCACCCTAAACGAGACTGTCTGATTACCGGCTTGTACTTTTTGTAATGCTCTTGTTGTTAAGTTCAGTCCATCCGAGTGTTGATGACACTCCTGCCACAGTCGAAGTTCACTGGGCCTGTTTGAGACTCTCGGCTGTAAAAAAGGTGTGGCTTCTCGCTCGGGTTAGCTGAGCAAGCACCAGGTCCCTTGTTGTGGCTGAACCATTTGATCGATCGATAAATCAACCCGATCGGCCGTGTGCTTTTCGGGCCGGCACAGGAGGAAGATAGCCTCCGAATCCCATGCAGCCTGTGTTGGTAGTGAATCACCCCAAGAGAATCAGTTGTGAAGCGGTGCGCTATGTGGGAAATTCCGAATGGAAAGTGCTTACGCGATTATGACACGGGGCCAACGCTTAACTCGTCTAAGATACACGCACCATTTTTCGAAGC